TCTTTCCCAATATTTTATGAGCCATTTCACACATTTTTACATTTGCAACTCAACATAGAGATGTACAGGAAACCAACCCACACAAACCAGTATCTCCGTTTTGACTCACTTCACTCACCGGAGCACAAATTAGTAGTCATCGGGAACCCTACAGTCACGGGCAGACACCATTCCCACCACCAACAGAGGTAAGATGAGAGAACAGGGACACATTAGGACAGCTCATCAAGACCTGTCTTGAACAAACAAAAAGAGGCCCACAAAGAGGGAGGACAACAGGAGGAGGGAATGTCATCATTCCATACATTTCAGGAGTTTCGGGAAAAACGTCCAACACTACAACACCAGATCCCTGTACACTTCAAACCTGGTAACACCCTAAGACGAAAAACTGGTTCATCCCAAAGACAAGTCTCCAAGAATCAAGCTGGACCATGTCGTTCAGTGCAGTGAGGAGTGTACGGGCCTGTACATTGGGGAGACTAAACGGCTGCTACACAGGCGCATGGCCCATACACCTCAAGGACAAAACACACTCCTTTGAGGACAACAATGTGCACATTTTGACCAGGGAAGACAGATGGGTAAAAGAAGCCATTTTTGTCAACCAGGAAAAACCATCACTCAACAGAGGAGGTGGACTCACAGACACAACCTACCCCCCCCACATACAAAGCACTTTTAGGAACAATACCCAAAAGATTCACCTCAGTTTCACATAACAAAGAGGCAGGTGACCGAAACCGTTCTGATGAGGACCACAACGACCCGATCACACTCTTAACCACTGTTTACAGTTGACCAGTTGACACCCAACAGCGTTCAGACACAAGTTATCACCCCACATACAAAGCACTTTTAGGAACAATACCCAAAAGATTCACCTCAGTTTCACATAACAAAGAGGCAGGTGACTGAAACCGTTCTGATGAGGACCACAACGACCCGTCACACTCTTAACCACTGTTTACATTTTCCCAGTTGACCAGTTGACACCCAACAGCGTGGAGCTGAAGTAGCTTTATTCTTTCACACCTAGAGTACATACCTGCTGTACTTCCCCACCACCAGTTAGAACTGAAGAAGCCTCTTGGATGAGAGGTGAAACGTCTTCTGCTAGAAAATTCACTTCCCTTCCAGTTGCCTAACAGAACTTTTCAACCTTGACCATGACCTGGATGGCCTGAGAATCTTCATAGACAGATTATGAAATATAATGATCTTTCAATTAACTCACTATTTAATTACTCAATGTATAACACAGGCCTATTTAGTTAAACACAACGCTGATATACATGAAGGAATTGAAGAAAGACATTTTTTTTTTTCTCCACCTCATCTGCTGCCACATAGTGGCGGAGTATTTACTGTAAATGTTCTCCCGTCGTGGTACACTAGCATGCCCCATTCCCAAAACCACACCCTTACCTTAACGTAACGCTAATTTTAATTACAGCCACGAAGTATTGAACTGCAAAAAACGTTTTGATTGAGGACCTGGAAAGTGTCCTCACAATGTTTCCTCACAACTACTAAAAGCAATCATATGTTTTTTGCACACACACATGTGGTTGTCGATATATAAAAAAAAAATGTCATGTGACCCCAAAAATGGTATATCCCTGTTTCTAGGGAACATCCGTGTTTTCTGCCGAGTTCGGCCAATCAGTCAAGATGAAAAGGACGCCGCTGATGCGAGAATTCTGCTGAGCTTTGACTCGGATGACGACAGCATCCTCTACCTATCGAGCAAGGGCAAAGTAATGACGTTTGAACTCGACAAAGTGTTCCCTCCCCAAGCCACACAAGAGGAGGTAAATGTCACAGCTGATATACTGTGTCGGCTAGAGAGGATAGGGAGAGATGCATAATATGTGTGATGTCCAGAAAATGTTTGACACACTAGTCAACAACAAACAACAGGAGGAAGATTTTCTCCAAGCGTTTTAACGTCACTGCAGCTGTGGAGGATTTGCGTCTCACCTCTTTATGTTTTTTTTTTTCTGCTTAACTTATCAGGTGTTTAAGGAAGTGCAGTCTTTGGTCACGTCATGTATAGATGGCTATAACGTCTGCATTTTTGCCTATGGCCAGACAGGCTCAGGGAAGACGTACACCATGGAGGTAGGATGTGTTTTTGTTTTTTTTTTTTTTGGATGTTTTTTCACACACACAAGCTCTTCTTTTATCCAAATCTGCTTCATATCTCTTAATGATCTACTTCAGGGTGAGACTGACAATCCTGGCATCAACCAAAGAGCACTACATCTGCTGTTCTCTGAAGTTAGAGAAAAAGCTCCTGACTGGAACTACAAGATTAAAGTCAGCATGGTGGAGATTTACAATGAAACACTACGGTGATTAAACCCCAAAATTAAATTGGAAAAACATTGTCATTTTTTTTTTTTTTTTTGTCACTTTCATAAAAATAGCCCGGACTGTAAGCCACTACTTTTTTCACACGCTTTGAACGCTTGCGGCTTAAACGATGATGCGGCTAATTTATGGTATTTCACGGGCTAACGAAGTTCATACCACTAGCGATCAATGATTTTCTGGTAGGCTACTATACTAGTCTAGTAGCGTATGTTTTTCTGTGAATGGCTGTGTGCATATATGTGTGTAAAGGAGCTGTTAAAACACTGTTCATGTTCTGTTGCGCTCGGTGTGGCTGATAATACAGACCCCGACTTGCCTGTTTCTGTTTCACCTCTGCTGTGGACTCTTGGCATATTCAGGGAATTTTAGAGGAGTGGTTTAAAAAAAAAAAAAAAAAAAAAAAAAAGGTGGATTGTCATAAATCATTTCAAAGTCATTTCTGCGGGCAAAATGTAGCATCTTGATGCATGAGGGTTTGAAACATCTGGGGGATGAATCCTTATAAATGAGTGAATATTAACGGTGTTACTGTCATTTAGCAACCTGCTGAGTGAGAGCTCTTCTGCCAAACTGGACATTAGAATGAAACCTGATGGCAGCGGGCAGCTCTACGTCCCAGAACTGACAGAGTTCCCTGTGCAAAGCCTTGTGGACATCAAGCAGGTAAGCTTCCTGCTCGCCTATTTGACCTTTTCACCTATTTGTGTAAAGTGATTCGCTAACATTAATAACACTGTCCCCCTCAATTCAGTTCATTGTAGGTTATAGAGTACATATGGATTGGTGCAGCTACACTAGAAGGCTGGTCGGTTGATCAATACATTTTTTTTTTTTTAAATAGTTATATTTTTAATTTTCACACAGATTTCTTCCACATTGAAATGTAACCATGGACATTTTTTTGTTGCAATCAGAGGTGGAAAAAGTACTGGGAAAAAAAAAAATCAAAATCTTTACTTTGCTCTAAGTTCTAAACAAGTAAAAAAAAAAATACCTAATTTAAAATGTACTTTGAGTAAAAGTTACTTAGTTACTTTTAATTACTTGATACAAAAGAGACCAACTGCAATTAAAATCAGGTACTCGTATTCTTTTGACTGCTCTGGCGATTCATTTAATCTAGACTACTTCACTGAAACGTCAGTTATCAGAATTAATGCTAAAAGCTAAGCGAAAGTAATTGATATCAAGCACATTTTGCTTAACGGAGGAAGGTTTAAACCAAGCAGTAATCTAGGGATGCCCAATATTAACTTTTTGCCGATATGCCAATATTGTCCAAACCCTTAATTTCCAATTCCAATATCAACTGATACAGCGATATAGCGGGGTAGTGGTGGCTTGACAGTTAAGTTAAGTGCCGCCTGCTCTCGAAGACGATAGGTTAAAGCAGTGTGTCTCAATTATTTTCTGCCATGCCCCCAGAAGTTTTTTCACCTCCCCCATTCCCCCACCCTTAGTTTTTTTTTTTTTTTTCCTCTGTGCAAACCACTGCATAAGTTGCTGGCACCAGCATTCTGCATACAATGCCCTGATTAACAAAATAGATTAATAAAATGAGTTGCAATCCTGCCATCTAGTGCCATTCACTTTGACATGCAGCCGTTTTTCCCCAAAACTGTTTTAGGTGGCATCATTTGGCAAAACCCAGGCATTGTGTTATTGGGTTTTCATTATCTGAGAAAAAAAAACCCGATAATGATTCTTACAGATTATAATTATGCTAATTGCATGATAAAGTTATTGCCTCATTTGCATGTGAAAACAAAAGAGCTAGCTGAGATGTGGCCAAGGATTTCCTTGCTTTTTGAGTAAATGTAATTTGCTCCATTCCACCTCTGACGGACATATGGATTCTTATATAGAGCTTAAAGATGAATCATGATTCCTTGATATTTATTTCATTTATGAAAGGTACATTTCTACATGTCAAACATACCCATTTACATCCCAAAAACTTCTTAAAGTGGCGTGTCTATCGGCAAATATGGGGAACTGTGATCAAACCTGCCTGTGTTGAAAGTTCCTTTCGAATGTTCTCTCAGTTTAGAAAGAAAGAAAACAATGAGATTTCTCTACATCAAAACCGATTACAAAGCTCCAAAAAAGTGTCAAAGGTTTTGGTTAAAAAATGTGATGTTTGCTCTGATTTCCTTCGCATCAAGTTCAAACTGTATTTGGTGATGTTAAGTCAATATTTCTCAATCGTTTTCTGTCATGCCCCCGCCCCCCCCGTTGGGAACAGAAACATTTTCACCCCCTCCACCCTTGACCCACACCCGCCACAAATTCTGTTGCTTGTGTGTTCACAGGTCTTCGAGTTGGGTCGTATGAATCGAGCAACAGCCTGCACCAACCTAAACGAACACAGCTCCCGCTCACATGCCCTGCTCATCATCACAGTTTGTGGATTAAATATCACCACCGGGGACCGCACGCAAGGTAGACAGACATCGTCATCGTCATCGCCCCACCCCGCCCCGATCCCTAAGCCTCAGCTGAGTTAGTCTGCTCTGCTGTGCGTTCCGGTTTAGGTAAGCTGAACCTTGTGGACCTGGCAGGCTCTGAGAGGATCAGTAAGTCCGGGGCTGAGGGCACGCGCCTCAGGGAGGCTCAGTGTATCAACAAATCACTTGCAGCTCTCGGCGACGTGATCAATGCCCTGCGGAGCAAGCACCCTCACGTTCCGTTTCGAAACTCTCGTCTCACGTACCTGCTGCAGGACTCGTTGAGTGGAGACAGCAAGACGCTAATGATGGTGCAGGTGAAAGCAGGAGCCAGAGGCCACATTTGTGCTTTTGTTCCTTCTTATGGTTTGTTCTCACATTGTGTCCTGCCTCCTCACTGCCCGCCCCTTCCCCCCCTCTCATAAAATAAGATTTTTTGTGACAAATAAGATATTCACCTCGAAGTATGGATATGTTTTTTTTCTTTATGGAGGACCGGTTTATGTTCCTTTTTACATACTGTTGAGAGGTAGCCTGCAGATAACCGTATTTTCCGGACCTATCAGTTGCACCTTTTTCACCCATTGGCTCCGGAGCGGGTTTGTTTTTTTTTCTTCATTATGCATTTTTTTTGGCTGGTGCGACTTATACTCCAGCGCGTCTTTTAGTCCGGAAAATATGGTACTTGCACTAACCTGTACGCACTCACAAAACAGAACACACTCAGGGGGTTGCTCAGCCTGAACCTGACAAGCGCATTATGAATAAGGGTGTGGTAGTGGAAAGTGTCTCTGACCTTTCACCCCTTGTCTGTTTTCAGGTTTCTCCTTCACCCAGCAACACGAGCGAGTCTCTGTGCTCGCTCAAGTTTGCGCAACGTGTCCGAAGCCTGGAGCTCAGCTCTGCGTCTGCTGCCTCCAGAAAACATGAGAATTTGTCAACGCCCTCCTCGCCTACTCATGACCACACCGAGGTAACATGGAGGCATTCTTCAAACAAAACGTTACTTACTTACTTTTGACCTCTTGTTTTCTTTCAGGTGGACTCTCCTCCGGTGACTCCAATACCTTTGCCAATCTCTCGTGCCAGCAGTGCTGGCACCACACTGTCTTCCACCTCCAGAACTTCCAGTGGTTCTCGCAGGAGGTCTCAGTCCCAGGTGCCAACAGGTAGATAGAAATGTGTTGTCTAGATATAGCTATCCTTGTGGGGACATTTTCCAGGTCACCGCTTAGAACAAGGATATTATGAAGTTTATGATTTAGATTGGAGCAAGGATTAGAGGACTGGTTTAGGGTAAGGGGAGGTTAATGGGTTAGCGACTGCCACCATGCTTTAATTTCCCAAAGGGGACTCCAGAGGGATTAGTAAAGTTCTATATACACTATATTACCAAAAAGTATTGGCTCACCTGCCTTGACTCATACTATGAACTGAAGTGCCATCCCATTCCTAACCCAGAGTTCAATATGATGTCGGTCCACCTTTTGCAGCTATTACAGCTTCAACTCTTCTGGGAAGACTGTCCACAAGGTTGAGGAGAGTGTTTATAGGAATTTTTGACCATTCTTCCAAAAGCGCATTGGTGAGGTCACACACTGATGTTGGTCGAGAAGGCCTGGCTCTCAGTCTCCGCTCTAATTCATCCCAAAGGTGTTCTATCGGGTTCAGGTCAGGACTCTGTGCAGGCCAGTCAAGTTCATCCACACCAGACTCTGTCATCCATGTCTTTATGGACCTTGCTTTGTGCACTGGTGCACAGTCATGTTGGAAGAGGAAGGGGCCCGCTCCAAACTGTTCCCACAAGGTTGGGAGCATGGAATTGTCCAAAATGTTTTGGTATCCTGAAGCATTCAAAGTTCCTTTCACTGGAACTAAGGGGCCAAGCCCAGCTCCTGAAAAACAACCCCACACCATAATTCCTCCTCCACCAAATTTCACAGTCGGCACAATGCAGTCTGAAATGTACCGTTCTCCTGGCAACCTCCAAACCCAGACTCGTCCATCAGATTGCCAGATGGAAAAGCGTGATTCATCACTCCAGAGAACGCGTCTCCACTGCTCTAGAGGCCAGTGGCGGCGTGCTTTACACCATTGCATCCGACGCTTTGCATTGCACTTGGTGATGTGTGGCTTGGCTGCAGCTGCTCGGCCATGGAAACCCATTCCATGAAGCTCTCTGCGTACTGTACTTGGGCTAATCTGAAGGTCACACGAAGTTTGTAGCTCTGTAGCAGTTGACTGTGCAGAAAGTCGGCGACCTCTTTGCACTAGGGGCTTCAGCATCCGCTGACCCCTCTCCGTCACTTTACGTGGCCTACCACTTCGTGGCTGAGTTGCTGTTGTTCCCAAACGCTTCCATTTTGTTATAATAGAGCTGACAGTTGACTGTTATAGTCTGTAGGTTTTTTTTCCTAAACTTTGAGGGATGCTTAGAAAATTAGTTTGAAAAAGTTTGCATCTGTTAATGCGGTCTTACTCTTTATATATGTTCATGATTAGAAAAAAAAGAAAATGACATTGTTTTGGTTTACTTTGTTTTACCTGTTGGGTTAGTCAAATCTTTTTTTTTTTTTTTGTGTCGCCCAAATTCACAAATAATAAAAGTTGTCTCATTGGTCATTATAATAAAAGATTGTTATAGTAACCAATAGGGATGGATAATTGGCCGACTGCTATTAGCATAATTGGCATAATTATACTGATGCATACAGTCGTTTGCCCCCCCCAAAAACTGAGGTAAACGACTCGTGACCCTACAAACGACTCCAGCATCAGTCGCCTTGAGGGTCATGAGGAGTTTTA